TTTTTTTTTTTTTTTTTTTTTTTTTCAGGATAATGTGTTTATCATATCTAACTTCAAGTCTAAATATCCAGTGCTACAACTAGACTTGAGGTATGTTTTATTTCGTACAATTGTTCCCAAGTAACAACTGATATTACCCTCTGATTTTGTGCGTTGGCAGATTGATCTCAGACTTGGTTATCGTAATTGTCTCTGCAACCTGTGGTGGCATTGCCTTCGCCTGTGCTGGACAACCAGTATGATTATTTTTTTACCTTAGCTATTTGATGGTGAATAACAATTTTAGGATGTGATCTGATTTCCATGATATGGACAATACAATATATATAACCTGTGTTATATTTTATCAGGTTATAACTGGATACCTCCTAGCAGGATCTATTATTGGACCTGGAGGATTTAACTTTGTCAGTGAAATGGTGCAAGTACGTTGCTCCCGAATCTATTATTTATGATTTTCCAGGGCTCTTTTTTTCCTCTGCCCAAAATTTGGAAAACAACTTTTACATTTGGCATGCTATTTTGAGTGCATGTCCTCGATTCTTCATGTTTTATACATGTCTTCAGTGCTGAAAATGGAACATTCAGGCTTTTAGCTCATCTGAGAAGATTGGGGGCAAAATTCTTGATCTCTTCATGAGATCTTCTCAGATGAACAGGAAAAAAAAAAAGAAAAAAAAAACCCTATCCCTTTTATTTGTGATTTTTGTTTCAGATCCAAAGTTTAAATGCTGAACAATCAATGTGTAGATAGGTCATGGTAAAAGAATGGGCATTGCTGCATTTTGGATTATTTTCTGGAATTCATAAAAATTGGAAGCTGATTATTTTCACGCGCATTGGCCTTTTAACCAAGTTTCTTTAGGTTGATTCTAATTTGTTAGGTCTACAGATAGGGTAGTTGTTAGATAATTAGTTGTTATGAAAGGTTATAAATAAGGCAAGGGAAGTAGCGGTTTTCCATCAAAAGAAAAAAGAAAAAAAAAAAGAAGGTTCGGATGAATTTCTTGTGAGGTTTTTTATTGAACAGAGGTAGCCATCTCCTAAGCTATCACTCTGGCACTATCTTTCTGGATTTTACTACTCTGACGGTGTTTTGTCTATGAAAATCATACTGATATAGTTGGCTCGTGTGATGGTTATTGAGAGAAAAATGACATTTGTTTTGATTTCTTTTCATGTTGCCTTTACCAACAGCCTTATCCTTTCTTTTGTCCTCAAGTTCCTTCTTATTGACTTCTGTGTTTAGGTTGAAACGGTAGCTCAATTTGGTGTAATTTTTCTTCTTTTTGCACTGGGGTTGGAGTTTTCAACAACTAAGGTCAGTCTTATTTCCATTCAATGTCATTCATAAATGTTTATAAAATCATGATACATTTGCTAAGCCTAATGCTGTGTTTTAGCTTCGAGTTGTTCGTGCAGTTGCTGTTCTTGGTGGCTTGCTCCAAATTTTTCTATTTATATGCCTCAGTGGGATCACAGCCTCGGTAATAACCAGTGGCTTCTCTGAATTATATCTTTTTTCCGGTTAACAGCAAATCCAGATGATCGTCTTGTTGACTACCTTATTTTTGCCTGTTGAATTAATTAGTTAGTTTGGATCCTGCTCCTGGCATTGGTTCTAACGCTCACCTTTCCTATTTTTGCATGCCTTCTCTCATAATATACTTTTCATATTTTATTTTATTGATAAATTTTTATAATAAAGTTTCATAGGACTCTTTTCTTTCACTTTAACTTCAGCAGTTCTGACTTTTTTTTTGCAGTCATGCGGTGGGAGTGCTTCTGAAGGAGTATTTGTTGGAGCATTCCTATCAATGTCCTCAACAGCAGTGGTAGGATATTGTATAAATTTTTTGAATGCATGAGAGTGCCAACATTCACTGGCATGGTTTATGGCCTATGTTCTTGTCTACATAATAAAATAACTACTGTCTTGGATTGTAGGTTCTGAAGTTTTTGATGGAAAAGAACTCGACTAATGCTCTTCATGGACAAGTCACAATTGGCACCCTTATCTTGCAGGCAATGTTTTTTTATTTCTTTTTTCTTTTTTTTTTCTTCATTTAACCTTGACCTCATAGGGGAGACAATTATTACCTAACTAATCTGTTTTCTTGGCCTTGCAGGACTGTGCTGTTGGGTTATTGTTTGCTTTGCTTCCAGTATTAGGTGGGAATTCTGGTATTCTTAAAGGAGTGATGTCCATGAGTAAAGTGTAAGTATAAGCAGGGATTTGTTAAACACATGAGCGTACCTTCAATTGTAGTTGTTATGTTGTCAAACAAACGTAGTAGGATCAAATAGTTTTGTCATGAGAATAATCAAGGTGCACACATGCTGGCCCAAACACTCCGCACATATAAAAAAATCTAACAACAATTTAAATTATTGGGCTTAATGCTGTTAGAGGTGTGTTCATTTTAGAACACTTTAGGTATGGACTCGAGGGTTCTCAAAAATGTTTGGGATTAAGGAGCTTTGAGATATGTTTGGTTTGGCTACAAACTTGTGGAGTTCAAAGGTTAAGTTTAAGCTCCTTTGAGTTTGTGTGTCATTCCTTTTGAGGTTTATGTTTATTCTAAAAAGAGCGGAAGTTGGTGCATTAAACCATATTGTGTATTTATTACCTGAATCACATGGAACTAGCCTTTTATGCTTTTTGCAGATGGTTAATTATTCTTGATGTTTTAATTAAAAATCCTTTATTACTAAGGAAGAACGGTAACTGGTTTTGTAATGACTTGTAAATTATGAGATAAATTGTGGTGTATGAATCTTATATTTATGAGGTTTTATATTTTCTCAACCAGGTTGGTGATCTTGGTTACTTTTTTGGTTGTTTTGTCAATTTTATCCCGTACATGTGTTCCTTGGCTTTTAAAGTTGATGATAAGTCTATCATCACAGGTATGCTTTATTGCATCGATACATTTATTATTCTATGGAATTTATAAACGTGATTTAACAATTGGAAAATTTTCAGAAGTTCAGATGCATTTTCTATGTTTATTTTTCTCTGCAGACCAATGAACTCTATCAATTAGCGTCAGTGGCGTTCTGCTTGCTTGTAGCGTGGGTCAGTATCTACTTTCCTTGTTCTGTGTGAGTTTGATTTTATGCATATGCGAAGGTGTCATTTTGAATTGTCATCATTTCTATTATTCAGGTAAGTCTTGCATATTATAAAGTTTTAATCTTTTTAATAAAAAAACCAAACTTTCATTTTGAAACATGAAATTCATACAAGGCATATGAAAAGACAGCCCGCACAGAAGGAGCCCTAACCCACTAAATGGGCCTCCAATCCAAAAGAATAACACAGCTAACTAATTATTACGAAAGACCTTAGAGGCCACCCTCCACAAGGAGGTATAAAACTAAAAAAATTTCAAAAGAACACACCAAATACACCTCAAAACCTTGAAAAACAAAAGAAAAAAGAATCTGTCGAAGTACTTCATTCATCTATCCTTTAAAAGGGAAAGAACAGCACAACTTCCTCTTATTGGCGCCTTTTCTTCTTCTTCTTCTTCTTTTAAAATATAACTCTTTGAAGCATGTGTACTTCAGTGGGGATCCCATGTCTATATGATGAACTTGTATTATTTTATTGGTCACAATATGATTGACTGAAATTATTTTTTGGATGTATTTTCTGTTATTAACTATTTTTACAATTTCAGTGTAGTGATAAGTTAGGGCTAAGTCTAGAATTGGGTTCCTTTGCTGCTGGAGTGATGATATCGACAACTGATCTTGCTCAACACACACTTGAACAAGTAAAGTATTCCATGCTTTGTTTCAAGAGATGCATGACTTAATTGTAATGTTACAAATCATGCATTGATTCCTATTGAGTGATTTTATAATTAATTGTCTACAGATAGAGCCTATAAGGAACCTTTTTGCGGCCCTTTTTCTTGCCAGCATTGGAATGCTGATCCACGTTCAGTTTTTGTGGAACCATGTTGATATATTACTAGCAGCTGTTATACTGGTGATAATTGTAAAAACAATTGTAATTAGCACAGTGGTGAAGGGATTTGGATATAACAACAAGACATCAGTTTTGGTAAGGTTATATTACTATAGCCTCAGCATTCGTCCAAAATTCATGGTATGTTGTAATCAGTCCTCTGGATATTGATTTTTGATGTGTAGGTTGGAATGTCACTGGCTCAGATTGGAGAGTTTGCTTTTGTTCTTCTCAGCCGTGCTTCTAATCTTCATCTAGTTGAGGTCAGTACGGTTATACTGCTTCTCAAGAAAAACATTAATGAGATGCATGAAAAAAATTCTCCTGCTAATCATAAATCATATTGCATGATCTCTGAGATCCTTGGGGCGTTTGGGTGTGGGTTCAGTTTCTTAAGCCTAGACTTAGGAAGTCTGGCGGTGGCGGGTTTAATTTGGGAGTATAGAAAGTCTGGATTGAAGACAATTGTGTTTGGTGTACAAGTTTATGAAAACTATACATTAAATGAATAACTGGGACTCAAATTTACTTAAGTTTCTCAAAAACTGAATGTTTTTCTTATTATTCAAATATGACCAAGTTCAAAGTTAAAAATCGTTTCTTCGAATTTATTTTGATAGGAGAGAGGTGTTTCTTTGAATTGTGTTATTTTAATTGACTAGCTTCAAAATGAAGTACTATATATTTATGCTATCTTAATGTGATCAAGTTTGAACTAAATACCATGGGTTACTTTTGGTACTTAATATTGTGAACCAAATACTTTCTTTAATATGGCTAATTTAATCTTAACTATAATTTATTTTATTCAGTTCAAAATTAAATACTGCTTAGTTTGATTACTTATTTTTCTTCTTGTGAAAATTTACTTTCAATGCCTTGAATATGGCTAATATTATATATATGTATATATAGTTTTAATATGCTAACTTAAAAATTAAATACTCCAAAATTTACTGTTCTATTCATTTTTAAATTACTTGTATTATTATCATTATTTTTTTTTAATATGAAAGTACAAGACTACAAATATGGGGAGGAGAACCCATTACAAATAAGTTACAAAAAACTTCTCCACTTGGACAACAGTGTTGAATAACTGAAAAAATGAACATATTGTTAAGATCACTTAGTTTAATAATGTGTGTATTTTTTAAACTATTCTTATTTAAAAATGGATAAATGAAAAGAATAATATTTTTTACTAAATACTGATACTATGACAATTTTCAGGGGAAATTGTATCTACTGCTTATTGGGACCACAGCTCTCAGTCTGGTGAGATGTAATTCAGTTCTGTATGTGTGTTTGTGTGCGCATACGTAGTATGGTTATGATCTATTACATCAATTTCTTTTCTCAGCACGGCTGTTTTATTAGACTTTTTTTTTATTAGATTAGTTTGAGTTATCTGCTGTAGTATTGATCTTTTTAAGATAACAATTATACTTAAGAATTATGAATAATTTAGAAATAGCTGGAAGTGTGTTGACTCTTCTCCTATGTGTTTGATAACAATTACTTAGGATTGTTTGAATGCTAAAAATCTTTCTTATATGATTTGTATTTTTATAAAATGTTAATGTCTCACGTGTTCACCATATGATCAATTATCTCAAGAAATAAACTTCTGGATGGGGCATTTGTGAACATTTTGTGCAGGTGACAACTCCTTTTCTTTTCAAGCTGATACCAGCTGTCGTGCATTTAGGCGTGCTATTGCGATGGTTCTCTCCAGATAGTCTCGTTGAGGTATAAACTTTTTACTTAAATTTGGCTCCTAGAACTGCTTAATACGCCACTATTTGTTATCAGCTTGATCAAAATTTATCTTTATTTTTTCTTGTGATAATTCAGATTGGATTTAAAGGAGACATCATCCGCTCAGACAGTGTAAAGCAGCGGGCAATGTTGATAGTCCAGGGACCTCATGATTCATGACAGTGATACTCTGATTGTATGTCAATTGAAAATGAAACATCAGTTTCTGCTGGAGGAGTCAAATTCTGGGCTGCTCATCATCCCCCATGTGCAAGTGAAGTCGATTGAGCCAATCTGTATATTTCATGTTTTTCTAGCATCATATAAAAGCGTGTCCAGAATCATTTTTTGTTACACTCAACTGACCTTTAGATATGGAAAAATCAGATAGAGGAACTGTGGGGCCAGTACTGTAGAGGAACTACTATTGTATTTGTCTTCACTATGACCTGATTCTTTGTAAAATGTATTATAGTTTGGATATTTATAATGAAATTGGTACCCTCCAAAATGATCACTTTGCTGTTTTTTTTGCAGTGTCAATATTGATTTTTGCCAAGTTGTCACCTTCAAGACTCTTCATCAGATGCTCATCAGCGAAAAAAAAGGTCCAAGGCTGTAAGTCCATCGATTCCCACTAAACACACGCATTTTAAATTATGGAGATTGAAAATTCAGATATCAAAACAGGTAATTAACAAAATTAGTTGAATAAATAAATGATCGTGAAGCACGTGAACCCTCATAAACTAATTGAGTTACGCACATAACATATGATAATACTTCAATTTATATGCAATCGTATTTAAAAATGAAAAAAAAAATCGGAAAAGTGATAAATGGGCCGATTTTAAACTAATGGGCTTGGATAGGTAGTATGGCGCAACTGGGCTACAGTCTACAACATGGGCCGGACAGTAGTTCTCGATAATGGCACTCTTGTAATTTATGCAGAGAACATGGGTGAATTCGTATACATCATAAAATCGGGACGCCAATATATATACATATATTTTTTTCTTTAAAGGACAAAATCATTATTTTTTAATCTTAATACAACTCAACTAGTTAACAAAATCATTATTTTTTAATCTTAATACAACTCAACTAGTTAACAGTTATCATGGATCAATATTCAAATTCACAAACTAAAAAAAAAATCTTCAAAAGGTATGTTTTAAACTCAATTTAAACACTTTTTTTATGTTTTTTTAAATAAAATATCTTAGATTAACTTTTTTGTTAAACTATATTCTGTGAATGAATTTTTATGTTAGTACATAAACTATTGATGTTTAAAAAAATACTTAATAGATCCTTAATTTTTTAAATTTATATCTAGTATGTTAAATTAAAAATGGCATACTCCTAATTTCTGGTTTCTTTTTTGGCAATTTAAGGTAATAAATCTAGGTCAATATTTATTATTTGTGATATTTTATTTAGTAAATAGGGTTTAATATTAAAATATTAGTTTTGTGATAATATTAAAATGCAGAATTAATATTGAATTTAAAAGAAAAATAGCCTGTATTGGTTGATGGGTGTTTGTGTCTTTTCAACTGAGCACGCACTGAGTCAGAGTCATGGGAAGGTCCGGATATTGGTCACCCACCTTGGGACCTCTCTCTGAATCCGATTGCGAAGCTGTCACGAGGTTTCTCAACTTGTCCAATTTTGGGCGAATTGAGTTAATTCATCGATGTTCAAAGAAAAACATCCCCAAAATCCCTTTTCTGCGTCAAAATTGTTTGCTTCTACGAATGAAGCCCAGTTTGTGGGTTCTGAATTACACAAAAAACCAAACATTAGTAGAGAAGAAAAGGTAGCAATCAGTATTCCCCTTTAGGAGTACGAAGGGCTACGAGACATTGAATTTGAACTCTTCTTTTTCTTTCTCTTTTTCTTTTTCTTTGCAGTGTCCATTGGCAGCATTTCTCTGTTTGGGTTTGCAGGCAACCAAGCAAGTAGCAGCAGACCCCACACCCCCCGGTTTTTTCACACTCAACCATGTGGTAATGGTAAGGAAATTTCATATATTTTACTGTCATTTTTCTTTTTTGTCATTGTGCTGTCAAACACCTTTGCTCTTTGAAATCAATCTCGAGCTTTGAGTTACTCTTCACCATCCAACGTGGAAGCTGAATGATAATTACACTTGAGTTTAATGAATGTACTGTCTTTTCTCTTTAATCCTTTCAAGAACCGTACTCTTTGAAGCATATTTTGTCCATTAACTCTCGCGTTAAGGACACCCTTCTCTTCCTTTCTTACTTGGGTAATCATTAAAAACCCACTTTGTAAGAGAGAGGGGTCTGACTTCAGAGCGACAATTGGGATGCTTACAAATTAAACCCATTAAATGGTTTCACTTACCAAGCCTGCAGTGCAGAGAAAAGGCAGAACCCACAACGCATTCTCTCGAGTAACAGCTCGATGGAAGAGTTGCTCGAGCATTGAGGTTGTAGGTCCACATTATTTCCTTTAGTTATTTCTGGTTATTACCCAAATCCCATTATAGCTTCTTGGTCAGAGCTCAAAGCTCAAAAGAAGATCAGAGTAAAGATTTAGACAATGGGGGAAAAAGTGGGGTTGTATCACCTCAGATCCAATGGCAGAGCTCTAGATTTAAGAATCGATTGCATTGTTTCATCATCATGTTGTTACTTAATGGATAACCATTATGGTTCGAATATGAGCATTAGGGTCACTCTCATTATCCAAGAAGTACGTATAGCCAAAACAAGCAGATGGGTATTGGTTTATTGCGACTTGCAGCCATTAAATTCGTCAAAGATATCCCACAAGATTTTCTCGTCAGTTTGGGTTTGCTTGCATCATCATTTTCAGGCTCTTTTCTCTCCCTTTAAATTCTGAGACTATAACTGTTCAAAAGTACACTGGTGAAACAGTAAAGTTTCTCTCTTTTTCACATTTGATTGCCTTTAAGTTGTTTGTTGTTTGATTCTGAAGAAAAAGTGTGATGCATAGTTCCTTTATTTGCTCTTGCATCTCATCACTTTGGTTTTCTTGTTCAGTATAGCTAAAAAGAAAGGGAGTTTTGTCTGAAAAATGGTGCTGAGAAGACTTGGCAGGAACAGAAGTTTCAACAGAGAGAATCCAGATATTTTGATTATGATGATTGCAGTGGATCAGATAATAAGAGGACATGAGCAAGACAAAGGAGATGGCACAGAGAGGAAGGGCATGGGCCCTTTAAAGCCTGTAACAAAGAGTGAGTGGCTCTGCACCCAAGGGCAAATCTCTCTCTCTCCTCTCTCTCCTCTCTCTCTCCCTCTCTCTCCCCACCCCCTGGTTTTCTCTTGTGCGGCTGTTGCTTCTTTCTATCTTTATCTAGTGGGTCCATTTCCTCCATCTCCACCGTCATGCAGAGTTCTCTTGTGGCCTCTTCACTCTCTTTCTTCCTTTTCATGGTTCTCTGAGATGGGTGTCATTCATTTTCCTGAGCTGTACGTATTTTAGCTTTAATGTTTGTGGCCAGAGATTGTGATTATACATCTCCTTGGTGTTCAATACTCCAAACTTAAGCTTCTCGGGGTTTGGACTCTTGAACCTATTCCGTTCTCCTTTATTCATGCAAAATTTTGTATCACTTTTTTCTACCATCGGCTTTATCTTGATTCTCACCATAGGCACCCTTTTCTGGAGAAACAAGAAACTAATTTCCTTTAGTCTTCTCCTTTTGCCTTTTTAGGCTGTCATTGATCTCCTGTGTGTGAAGAAACATGAATTATGTAACCACTGTAGCAATTTTTTTGCGTTTTATACTTTGCAAGCTTGAAATTCTTCGCTAAGCTATCCCATCCATTTATTTGCCTAGAAATTCAGGACCACAGTGTACTTTTCAGAAGATCAAGTGTGGGGCTTTCACGTTAAGTTTCTCATCCTATTTTGGATGATAAAGATTTATCAAGTGGAAGGTTGGTTTCTTTGTCATCTCATGTAATCAGTGCCCAATCTTTATGCTTTGGCTTGTGGTTTACAGAGTGAGTTTTGATGTGGACCACTGTTTCCTTCACTCTTGTATGTTGTTATGCTTGTTCCCTCTATTGCATTGTGTCGTAATAATTTGTGAAGCTTCCAGGTATGGCTTGTCATTATCTGTAGCATGCTTTTCATTCTTGTGGCAATTGGGTCTAGATATGCATGCTACCACTGCTAATTTCCCTTTCAATATTGAAGTTAATTCTGGTCTAATGTGATTTTGGATGTCTGGATTTAGCTGAAAGTGCTCCTCCTTATGCTTTGAACTGGGAAGGTTTATTTTTTGTTTGGTACGAACAACTTGATGTTGCATTGAACTTAGAAATGCTATTGGAATTGCAGCTTGAACAGTTGGAAAATGACTTGATTAATGCTCTCAGGTGGATGTGGCTAAGCCCAAATGACTTCACTTTCAGAACCCAGTCGATATGTCCAATTAATTTGACCGTAATGATCTGAGCCATATTGCAGCTGAATTTCCTATCCTTTTGACTCTGCCAGAATCTAGATGCTCTGTTCTTACTAGTACTGATATCTGATCTGTTGGGGTTCTTAGTTTCTTCTCCAATGTCGACTGCTCTGCAACAAATCGATCTGGGGGATGCTTGTTCGAGTCCCTCTGGTAATGTTGAGTTTCATAATCAGTTAGCAGGAGCAATTCCTGTTACTTGTTTTCAATCCACCTCTCTTACTCCACTGAACGTTATTTGTGAAAATACAAAAGATTCAGCATTTCCAGACCGTCATTTCCAGCCATTAGAAACTTTTAGAACGTGCATCATACCCAGTACCTCTAATGCTTTAAATTCTTCATTTGCAAGTTCTCTGATCTGTGAAGGTGATGAGTCTTTATGTAACTTGAACAACAAGTGGGAAAGCCAGAGGTTTAACTGTATTCAGCAACTTGCAAGGGAGAATCCAGAAAGATCAGATTTCCAGACCATCTCGTCTATGGAAAATCTGAATCAAAATGGCTGGATGCCATCTAATACTATGAACTCCAAGTTATGGAATGAGCTTTCTCTTAGTCTTGCCACATCTAATCCCGTCCTTAGTGGAGGAACCAATTTTCTGGACCAGTATTCACAGTTGACCTTTTCTGGTGCTACTCAGCCTTGCTTGAATAGCACAGAATTAGCCTCGAACCTGAATTCGTGCAACTTCAGGGACCTCTCTCTAAGTTACAGATGTGGTAGTCCTGTTCACCTCTCTCAAGCAATAGCGGGATCGAGATATCTCTCGGTCATTCAGGACGTACTTTCTCAAATTGCAAGCTATCCACTAGAAAGTTCAGAACAAGATAGGCATTTAACATCCACAGTTGGGTTTGTGCCATTCTCATCAAGTTCCCTGGATGATAATACAGTTGAATTCGGTTCTGATGTAACTGGTAGATGCAGTTCACAAATTCAAATGGAGATTCAATGGCAAAAACTATCTGGTGACGCCAAGAAATCCCATCTGTTGACTCTACTACAATTGGTTGGTTAACTGAATATAATGGTTTACTGAATCTGTCTTTGTACTGTTCTATTACTGAACAACTTGATAATGTTTCAGATTGATGAAAGGTACAGTCAATGCTTGGATGAGATCCATACTGTTACATCTGCATTTCATGCCGCCACTGATTTGGACCCTCGCTTGCATACTCGTTACACTCTCCAGACAATCACTTCTGTTTATAAAAACTTGAGGGAGAAAATTACTGATTGTATTATTGCTGTGGGGATGCATTCTGACACAATGTGCACCAAGGAGAACGAGAAAACCTTCGAGGCATCATTCATCCAGAAGCAGTGGGCTCTCCAGCAGTTGAAAAGGAAAGATAGTCAATTATGGAGGCCACAGAGAGGCTTACCTGAAAAATCTGTCTCAGTTCTAAGGGCATGGATGTTTCAGAACTTTCTCCATCCGTAAGATTCTGAGACAAATTTGGTTTGCATCTTGAAGTTATGTAAAATAAGTTGAAGGAATGTTTGTTCAATGGAATTGTGTCAAACTGTTGTGATTTTTCAGGTACCCCAAGGACACAGAGAAGCATTTACTTGCAGTAAAAAGTGGATTAACCAGAAATCAGGTTCTTGCTGCTTCAGGATTTCCTTGAATTTTCATTTCGTCACCATTACTGAGTTTATGCCATTCTTGCATTTGGGCAGGTTTCTAATTGGTTCATCAATGCTCGTGTTCGGCTGTGGAAACCGATGATCGAAGAAATGTATGCTGAAATGAGCAGAAGAAAATCCAGTTAAAACTCGGAAGGGATAAGAATTCATCGACCCAGATAAGCATCTGCAGCAATAAGATGTCAGCTTGAACTGTGAATGATTGAGCATTATATAGTGAATGATTAGACAAGTTTATCTCGGACTGAATTCCAGCGTGGATGTAACCACAGTGAACATTCTATATATTCTTTAAGGCAATCGAAACATTCAACCTGAAGAATTTCTTTTGCTTCGATCTCCTTATTGCTACATCTCCAAAGACTAATTAAATGCAATAATTTAAGGGTGAAAAGGAAACATTACTGATGATCGCGAAGAATCACAAGCTTCATTCTGCAAAGAAAAGGCAAAAGAAAAACATGGTCAGAAGTAGGCGATCTTTCCATCTAAAAACATTATTTATTTATTGGAAATAAATTATTCTGGGATTTACATTACGGTCCCCCTCTCCTCTTCAACTAACTCTTTTGATTACAAATGAAAGAATGACAAATTCTGATTTCTGCCTAGAAGTTTTCACTATCAATTATCCTCTTTCCTTCTCTATCTACATCTCACACCTCTCACATTCATGAACTGATGGATTGCCAGAGAAAAGACAAAAAACTATCCAAGTCCTCGAGCACAAATAAATACAAAAGGCGATCTTTATTTTCTTTTCTTCTGCCTACTTTCATCGTTTAGACTTCCAATGAGATTCTTGTTTTGATTGGTTTTAACTTCAAGCCCATGCTTTCTGGCGAAAGAAGCTCTGGAGCAATGCAAGATGGGCTCAAGGGGCTTCTTGGGCTGACGCTAAAATGAGATGGCCGATACATGCCATATCCCATGAGAAAATACTCCATAGGTATCAACATGGCATCAGGCTGCTCCTCCGTCACCATTGACCCACATGACTGAACCTGCAAATAGAGCTTGCTCGCTTTAGTTCATCGTAGTATAAAGCCCGCTTTAAGATTTTAACGTATGAATAATCTCCAAAGAGGAAAAGAAAATTTTGGACATACTTCCACTAGGGCACTGTATCTTCGGTCTAGTTTAACAGTCATGTGGAGGGCCTCTGAATGGAAAGGGGACCTGTCCCCAACAAATATCAATGAACGGCACTTCAGTTTTCTCAACCCTTCTGAAATGTCGGGCCTTCTGCATTAAAGAAAAACAATGTTAAGGAAGGATGACCTCTGACCCTCATACATAATCAAATCATAAAATCTACGCACATCAGAGGGATAACTTGATGAAAAGCACAAATTCTTTAACGCATCAAAAGATTGGAGTTCGATACATTACCCATTCATCGCTTCAAGAAGCCTCCAGACATTTGAACTTTGCCTCTCCTCAAGCGACTGTAGAAATAGGACATGTGCATAATGTTTGATCAAAAAAATGCTCAACTCTTAAAATTCGTTATGTTTTCCAACTGTGTAATAATTAGCAGTTTAAAGTTGCTAAAAGAAATCTAGAAAAATGCTGGATTACTCACTCTTTTGCATGCTTGAACTAAATCAGACTCTGGTACTTGAGAACAACCACGAACCTCCTACAACCAAACAACCAGCAAAGTACAAATGTCCAATCAAACTCAGTTGATAAAGAATAACTCTAGTAAGAGCTTGAATTTCTGTAAGTAACCTGAAGTTGGTTCGTGTTTAGGTTAGGAAGAAAAATGAGTTTAAAAGTTCGTAGTCAGTGTGTAACCTAAGTAATGTGTTTTAAAAGCCTGGATTTAGGTATCCCAAGTTATATAGGATTTAACAAATACAAAGACTGCGTAAAGGAAAGACCAACATCACGACATAAATTCTGCGGTCTAACCCCAAGCTATTTTGACCTACCTTACTGAAATACCGCTTTAGCAAGAACTCCTTCACTACCCCACACATGCCGTAGAAATAAACCAAATTTGACATCACCTGCATTTGGAAAAGTTCGTTTATAAGTTGATTCCAATAAACCAGAAGATGATCGCAAAAGTTCAGAAATAAGACCTTATTATACAGCCATTCTGTCCAACAGGGTGCTGTGCATATGGGAGAGATCAATATCAAACCATGAACACGATGCCTGTGCTTCATCTGCCACCAACAAGTGAAATCAATATATGAGAGAAGTTTCCAAGAGGACTTGAAAAAACAAACCAGAACAAAAGCATCACGTGCATGGTGAACAAGGAGAAAACTTACAGCGAAGAGAGTGAGGATGTAAGCTCCAGCAGTAACACCCATACACATCACAGCGCTAAGTCTGGGAGAAAGGGTAAGAAGAAGAGTAAGTAATCGGGTTTGTGCATATCCATTCTAAATCGAGCTCATGAGTAAAACAAATAAGACTTCCACGTGTCAGACAAGTGGAATTCTAAGCTAGTTGAAGTTTAAGTTACACAAAATTGAAAATAGCCAAAAGGAATACCGAATTACCCAAAATAGTTAAGAACTTCAGCAATTTGATCGGCCAAGTCATCTGCAGAAAGTACAGGATCATCAGGGCAAATTGCAGCAGCTCCCAACTGCAATAACTCTTGAACAAGGTCCCAATATGAGAAGAATTCATGTGAAAGTGGAAAACAACGTACTTGTTGGAAAGTTCATTTTCATTGAAGCCACACAAAAGAATTATATAATAGGTTATTTTCTGCATAGAATAGATAAAAAAGAGTAACTCGCTCATAAAAAGGTACTCACTAGTATGAGTGAATTGCTTTGTAATCTATTCTATGTAGAAAACAACCTAACGTAAAAAAAAAAAAATCAGAGAGAGAGAGAGAGAGAGAGATATAAGACCATGCCAATTATACAAACCTCATGTCCAGGAGGGCTGATATGATAAATGCAAAAGTTGTGAAGCAATAACGAACAAGCTTCTGGACAAAACATCAATCCTTGGAAGCAGAACATATCTGATAAATAATGAAACATAAGGCATTTAAACATTGGTAAATAACCCGAAAAAATCAAAGATAGACACTAAAAGTTCAAAGTTATAAGCCATACATAATTTCATTTCTTTTTAACTCATATTAAAATTTATGGACCTTTGGTTTTCAGATTGCCATGTTTTCATTAAATAACTTATTTTTTCTATCTTGAAAGAATGAGCTTGTCAAATAAAAATAAATGGATTTCAAAAGCTACTATTAAAAGATAGAAGACAAATATGTGGGTGAAACGATTTTTTTTAAAAAAAACCAAAAAGACAGATGGTTTCAACCAAAAGGACCGTAGATGATAAAGATAACCAATATTATCGAATCCAAAAGATTCAGCATGTAAAATTAAAAACAAAACAAAAAACCATGTAACGCAAGTAATGAAAAAAAAAACTACTTATTCTGAAACAAGAAGGAAAAAGTTAAAAAAAAAAAAAAAAAAAAAAAAAAAACTCAATTATAATCAATCCAAAACTCCAAATTGTGTCTATTTTACTGGAAGATCTACTTTACACTCAAAATCATATTTTGGATATTACATTACAAGCACATCTGACAAGACTGAAAACAAAAAAGATTCATCACTTTTCTTTTCTTGATGACTGGAAATGCCCAAAATCATACAACTTCTTTGCCGTGGGTTTAAATCAAAATGTAACTTGAAGTGACCTAGCTAATATACGCATACAAAAATGAATAACATTTTACAAGACACATTCTACATACTCACGATTTAGAGCTAAATCAGGATAAGTGATTAGAGCTGGTTTTTCCTGGTCTCCAACCACTGTGACAGACACAGCACCATAACAGGTTTTCACAAGATACTCCTGCCATAAACATGATTGGACAAATATTAATTTTTATACGTAATCGCCTGAAGTAAAGTGAAGAATTAATCTAATAGTTATTGATGAGTTTGCATTCAAATTAAATTATTTCGGTGAAGACAGCTAACACCAACAAAAAATGAGAACTGAATCACCTAAAATAAAAGGCGGCAAGTAGAAGAATCATAAATGAACTACTATTAAAAGAGGATTACAAAAGCTTAACTATATGGAAATTCATAGTTGAAGACGCAAACAACATAATAGATTAAGCTAGAAAACATAACTGATAGATTCTTTCCATAAAGAAACTTTATCTACTTAAATTCAAAATGTATTTCTAAGCTAGTAAACAACCAACTTCCATCCAATTATGGTATGAAAACACCCAGCGCCAGTGATTCTAAAGAAGACCATTGAATTTCAAAAACAAAGAAAGGAACTCCATAAAATGCAAACGAAAATCAACAGCAACTACCCTTCCAAAACCAAACCAAAATCAACAATGCACGACCAACAAGGAAGGGGACGAATGCAGCCATTAACCCGACACAGAAACCTCGATTAACTTCGTCTAAAACGATCATTAATTTCATGAATTCGTCCAAACAAAACATTATGAACCCCAATTTCTTAGCAAGCATACAAAGAATAAGTTCAAACACGTCTAATCACATGAATTTACACAAATGCGTAAAAGAGACAGGAAATGCAGGTACCTTTCCCCCAGAATAGATCGACTCCATATCCACCGAAACCGAGTCGCTCGAATCCCCCATTTCTCTCTATCCTATATTCTCTCTTTTCCCTCCTTCCCTTCTTCGCCACTCAATACTCAGAATGCTTCTTCGACCTTTTATATACCACCAAATCTCTTCAACAATTACTCCTACATTATTTGGGATAATTTTTCAACTCGTCGCACCGGATCGTCCGAGTCGAGACGAGTCACCGACGCCGCGTTCCCCCTCATCGCACATTGACAGAAACCTCACGAGCGCCCTGTAACGAACAAACTCTAACTCGATACCGTTGTTCATTTAACCATAGTTAGAAGGCCGACAGTTCAATCGAGTTACTAAAATGCTCATAGTCTCCTTTGACAGCAACACGCTTTCCTGCCAACGAAGGAGGGCCTTACCGTCTTTTCGCTTATATTTTAATTAATAATAAAGAAAGGAATAGTAAGTAGTTAAGCTTTGACTAAGAAGGGATAAAAAAAGTGTCGCATATTTTATTATGGGCCCCAGAATTTGTTTTTACGTTTAATTAAAGTAAAATAATCATTAATATCATAAAGTATATAATCTGTACAAATTTGGGAATTTAAATAAAAAAATAATTTCCCTTTATAATATGCTAGTGTAGTTTTGTAATTTATCGCATTGCCTAAAACCAGTGTGTATTTAATGAAAATTAATTTTACAGAATCTAATTGTTTTTAATAAATATTGTGCACAAATACAGTTGAGTTTTCAATAATATTTTTGCACCATTAAATTAAGTTTATTCAATTCCATCCTTTCTTATCCAAATGGATATCATCTTTATTGAATAATAAATTTTTAAAAATTCATAATATTAATTTAAATTTTGAAAACATTTTTATATAATAAATAATATTTACGAGCTTAATTTTAATAAATTGAAAACATGATTATAGATCAAATTTTAATAATTTTGATTATTTTGGTGACATGTTTAAATATGAGAAATGTTAATTTATGTCGTATATTTTAAAAGATTGAGTGTCAAGATTTGTATATTTACGTGTCTAAATATATTAATAAAATAATAGCGACATGTCAGTCTTTTGCTATTGAAATTTAATTTTGTTGAAT